AAAATCATGTTATTTCCCTGAAAAAAAGTGAAGATGATAATGATGATTCTCCAAAGCAAAATTTGGGGGTTCAAGTAATTTTTGTTTTCACTCTTGCAAACGCCATCCGGCCTGGTCCTGAACTCTCCATTGTTATTGGTTGAGCTTCATTGCCATGTTACGACGCAAACGACAAACTCGTCAGAGCCACGCTATCACGTGCGCGCAAACCTTGGTTTTTAGGTATATCTAAAAACCATGCCCAGAGATGGCCCAGAGATGGTTTCTGCCTTCATCAGACCGGTTCCTCCAGTGCAACTTGTGACATGTTCTAGTCGATCTATAGACCATGTCACATTTTGTTTACACAATTAGATGTTGTGGTCACGTGATGTCAACTTTTTTCAAACTGTTCTTTTCTGCACTGCATATTTCATCACTTGAAAAATGAATGGTTTACAGTGTTGACATATGCTGTTTGATGTGGGCCAAATAACGGCAAAAGGTGCTGAAATGTTTGAGTCACTGGTAACAATGGTCTATAGGACTGTATAAATGCATATCATTACACCAAAAACCATAAACCAGGGTGCATTAATTGTGATTGTGTGTGGTCTAGATGAGTTATAGGGAGTGCCAGATAGCTATCAAACGTGGGTCTTGGGTTGTAAAAAAAAAAAAAAAGGGTACACGTGCCGTTCCTGCAATGAGGGTCGAACCAAAAGGCTCTGTTAATAGAAATCTGAGTGTGCATTTGAAATTACAAAGAAAGGGGGAAATTATAAGCTGTGTGTCTCTAGGGTCCATCCACGTGGCCATTGTGGTCATGCTCAATAGGTTAAGTCCAAGTGTGTAAAGCACAGATTGAACTCAAGGAGAACGAGATATCGAAACGAAATGTATCTTGTTTCACGATTTAAACATCGAGGGACGCTTGCACACGTACGAGGACCCCATGCATTATGAAAATCCCAATAATACACTGCCGCGACCTTAACTAAGATCGCGCTGTGAATGGTGTATGGAAATCGCTGGCACTGTACCAAGTGAACTTAAGGCCAACAAAGAAACTCTTGTCTTTTGGGAATACCATTCATTGTACAAAGTACTGGCGCACCTACTACTTTTTTTTTCAATGGCTGCAATTCATCCTGCACAGGTGTGATTTTGTTAACCGCAGGCAGATTTGTTTGTAACTGCATTCGGCCCCAATCAACGTACAACGGCACTAGTTCCATTCACAGTTGATTTCTGATTGGCTGAATGTTTGCATGATTGACAAGTAACTATGTGAGTGACGTTTGAAACTCCGCCCCCTAATTTGGGTATGCATAGCGTCCCACCGCATACACGTTGTATGGATATATTGTTAACGTGGTTCTCGTGATCCGGAAGAATAGAGGTATCCCGAGCTGTTGACTGTCAACTTGTCCCTAAAATACGGGAAGGGCCTATACGACGTCGATTGGAAGATTTACATGTCAGGGTCATGCATGATTATTTTTAAAGTACACGTAAACGTATAGTAAGCACTAGCACTCGAATTTTCAAAACCTTCATATCAATACCGTATGCACACAGAGAGAGAACCTGGTTTACATAGGAAATGATGAGATTATAAGAGAAGGTGAACTGAAAATAAAAACCATAGAAGCAAATTGTTTCCATCTGAAGAATTTGGGATCGCGGCCGAATGAGGAATATAGCAGGCTTGATGGAAGAGAAAATAAATTATTGCAGAACGGCCGCTTTCCGCAAGAAAAAAATCACAACGTCGTATTTACCACTTTTTTAGAAACTATTTGATACAATTTATGTATGGCATCTTTTGTTATTTTAATTAGGTAATATCGAACGCACAAAAGGTTCGCTCATGCATATCTTAGCAAAACAAAGCGATGTCCTCCTCAGACGGCTGCTACGCATACGGGTATTCTTGTTCAGTTGCAAAACAAATTGACGCCGTCACGTTTCATTTTCAGTCAATAGTGGGCGCCACTGCGACTGCACAGTATTCACTTATCAAGATCCAAAACTCTCGGACGTCAAAAAAGAAAATCTCCGAGGACATAAAATGAGGGCGCTTTTCAGAGCAGACGTGGTCTGGCGCTTATCTAAGGCCGTGTCCGAAACGGGCTTCCAGAGCTACGGCTACGTCTATTGTCAGCGCGTCTCCGCGTATTTCTAATGGAGCGAAGACCTAGACGTAGCTCTAGACAACAGATTCGGATGCAGCCTAAATGCCATTGTCAGAAAACCCACGGGATTCATTTTCTTAACATTCGTTTTCTTAAAAAAAGTGTTTAATTTTGTTCGTGTTTTTAGGGTGTGGTATCCGGGGGAAAGTAGTTTTCTATTAGGCCTACTGAGTTTTCCCAATGAGCAATGTTAAAAAAAAAAATCCCCAGACACTGGCAGAGTGGATACTTCAAACTTATCACATAATCTTCTGTCACGAACACCGCCACCTAGTGTCAGGTGGAGTCCATCCCACAATTCCAAACCCCCTCTTCTCAAATGACCAAATCTGGAAAATTTCAGGATTTTTTGTCGTCATATCCCCAACCCATTGGGACAAACTGGCGCCCTTGACTAATAACCATCCTAGGGTCTTTCCCCTTTGGTATTGCAATAATTGTCTTTTCCTAGATGCTAAACTACATACAGATCTAAATATGGATTAGATTTGCAAATGCTGAGATTGATAGTTTACATAGCATAACAAGAAGTGGACATTAGTTACCATAACAACATCACTGAAATTGACCTTTACTACATGTTGGGCCTAACTGGAAAATTTTGGAATACTGATTACATCTATGATCCTTAAATTCTGCGCGAGCAACTGTAAACGACCAGATTGTTAGGCTGGATTGAAAACGGCTGCGTACTTCTAATACTACTTTTACATCAATCACATTTCAAGAGAGAAACATGCAGTGCATAGTTTGCTGAACTTGGCATCACCTGACCGTGCGCAACATGGGTAAACAAATGTAGCATGGTCTATAGTCTTCGCGACAGAGGGGGATACGCAAGAACACCCAAAGCCCCCATGACTTTTAGTCTCATGATGGAATAATGAATAGGCCTTCATGATCCCCTGCACAAGTGAATGTCTGATCCTCACACTACATGACTTTGAGCATGATGTGCTGAAAAAAAGTGCAACTACCTCTGAAAGAACTACCCCCCCCCCCCCCCCCCCTTTCCAAATACCCGCACCACGCACACAAACACCAGACTCACATGGGGAAAATTGCGATTTTTAGTTTTGTATTCAAACATCTAATGTCACCATTTTTCCAAGGTCACTATCACAATGATATCTTAAGAATGCTCCCTGCTAATCAAGATTATACGCAGTACCGCTGACCCCGAAGGTAGATAACGGTTATTTTTGTGTGTTCAGCTTTAGGGTTCTGCATGGCTCCAGTACAGGGCGCCCTCTCGCTTCCCAACGCAACAATGGCAGGCTCCAAAATTATTGGTCTTGACCGATGCAAACGAAATTAAAGGAACCGAAGAGCCATCCTATTGAGCCTTAATAATTGTGTGCTGACAGATCGAGTCTCTAACTACATGTAATTAACTGACTGACTGATGACGGACGGACGGACTGGCTGACTCCCCGAATCCCCGACTAATGTTCTGACTGACCCGTGACCGAGTAAATATCCTGAAGTGAGACTTTCAGCACGACTATAGAAGCCTAACCGTGTTTTAATTTTGCACCGACAGGCTGGATAGCTACCAACGTGCTTAATTATAAGTCTAGGCTAGCCTACAGGTGACAACGTGATGTAGAAGCGAAATGGAACAAGAAAACTTCCGGAAAGACAAAGTACAACGGAACGAAATGAGATTGAGCCGGATGTTGTCAGTACATGCTTGGGCTGCGAAACGTGGCTGCATTTCCGGGAGACAATAGGAAAAACATATTTTTACATAGCCCACTGCCCACGCCTACGGTGAAAAACTAAATCACCACAAACACTATCGTGGTTTTTACATGTGTTTTTTTTTCCATGCTCATAATTACATTTTGCGCTGTTTGCACAAACGCGGGAGAAGAATACCGAAATGTTTCGGTTTGCATCAAAATTTGCCAGTTAAAAAGTTGCATACCCCGTACTCTTCAAATATTAATATATTTTTTCCCTAAATGTTCAACTAGTATGTGTTGTTTTAACGAAAACACTACTTCAGTTGAGTGTCTGCACAAATGAACCCAGCGAGAAACAATTCAATAACTATCTCAACGCGATTGTGGATTTTATATTGGTTATCCTTTTCCGCAACCCGCGACAGAAATGTCGAAGTAATTAAATATAGTATATAAATATAATAACTAAACATGGTTGGATTTTTTTTCGTTCGGTATCTCATTCAAAAGTGAATAATGTTTATATCGCAAGGAAAATATGCAATTGAAAAGAGAATCTATTCTTGGAGGAGAAAATCGAAGAGAGTATGGGAAACGCATTCTTAAATTGAACAAGACAGCATCTACCTAAACTTGGCCAGGCAAAAATGATTGTTTTTTAATGTTTATTTTGTATTATTATTACAAACAATTTCTGCTTCAAATTAAAACATTGTCATGTACAGAATATCGCGCTCCACTGTTAGTTTAGTGCAGGTGTTTCATTACTACAACCAAAAATGGGGGGGGGGGTTACCGAGGTATAAGAAATTCATCTGGCACTTGAAACAACTGAAATGCACCTTTGAAATACAAAATGCTGGGTGGTACTCACGTTGATGTTCTTTTCTTGTTCTGCACTCGTTCCTACAGCTCTAGCTTGCCTGTCTAACCAACTATGGTTCGTCCTATCTAGCCTATCTGTCCTAACTCTACTCTTCTGTTTTTACCCTGCCTGGATTAACCACAAAGAAAAAAAGGGTAAGACTAAATATTTAATAGGCCTTTTTTTTGGGGGGGGGGTCATCTTTGATGGTCAAATGCACGCAAGCACAGTGGAAATAAACATGAATTTCAATAAATGACTGCATGTGAGTGTCGGGATGCTTCTTCGATTGCATTTATTGTACAAATACCCATTACGTCCTTTATCTTGGTACTATGTGCAGGCAATTGATGAAATTAAAAAGGAAAAATACTTTTTTTTAAGTCTATGTTTCTCATATTTAAATTAATTAATTTCTATCCGCACCACTCAATCTAACGTTTATATAAAATAAAATTACCAACTCTCCGGTCATAATTCATTAAATCATCCCTCACATTGCTGTGCACATAAAACAAACCAAAAACTGTGACATTGCAGTACTGTTTAAGTGGCAAATTTATACATAAATCAAAATCATTTGTATCCAATGAATAAGTGCATCAACAATCAACAAATTACACTAAAAACAAAGTGCCAACAAAATAAACAAGTAATTGAATTTCAGTAAGTGACTTCTCTTACTGTTGGATTTCACTTAAATTAATCAGTGAAGATATTGAAACTTTTCAGACTGAAAATCTGTTAGCCTTTTCTTTTTTTTTTACAAATGCCTACAAACAATAAAAGAGACACTTAATTAGATACATGTACTATACTTTGCTGTCTGAAGATGGCTGTTACTATGCCGTCTCCATTTTTAGAGTCCCAAAGACGATAGAAAATGGCAATAACTATTGAGGAATGGAATTTATACAAGTGATAAATAAAACTAGAGGCATGAAATTTGTTTACAATGTTCTCCACAGCGGGCCTTATTTCAATACAATATCTTAAAATAAAACAAACTACCAGCAGCACAATGTTAAACATATATTTAACCACAAGATTTAATATAGAAAGCACCTTTTTTTAAAGTTTATGCGTCCAAATGAGGCATTTCATATTCATTGCACACAATTTTTTTAAAACTCTATACACGTTTCATACACACAAGCTTAATTCAATGTATGCCACTAATATCTGGTAGTTATCATAGATAACTCTGAACGCATTTTTCTGTATTGCAAAAAAAAACAGAGCCTACTTCAAAAAAGCTTGGAAGACATTTTTAAACAATTCTTGAGCCAACTGTGGCATTTCTTGAGATCCCATCAGTAGGCTGCAGAGCAGTCACCCCCATCGTCTTAATCTCTTGGGGATGAAGGCATACTCAGCAAGCAACTCAAGCGCACATGACCAGGAAAGGCATTTCCGTAAAGTTGTTATGCCTAAGCTCCAGGTATCAAGACAAAAATTTGTCAGGAAAGAATGGGGAACGTTACTTGTTTTTCAGGGTGGTGCATCAAGGTGACTGTTATTCTTTCAGTATCTTATTGGGCTACATCATCAGGGCTAAGGCATACATGTCAATGTATTTAGGAAGTTACCTATAGAAGCTACCAGAATGACGCAATGGGATGCAGGAAGTCGCTACTAAAGTCATTTATTTTATTCTAAACATCCCGGAGGTAGCTATTTCATCACTGTGGGAGTGTCGATGTGCAACTAATAACTGGAACGGATTGCTTTCAGCACAAATTGGTCATCCAACTGCCAAGTCCATTGCAACCCACTGATCACACCTCAGGAGCGCAAACTTGAAGGCTTGTGATGATCAAACTTTGAGAAACAACTAGGCACCTTAGCACCACTTGTCTATTAATTGAAGCTGTTTCAGGTCCCAGTATCAGTAATAGTGACACAGGAACTTCAACAAGCCCACTGGAACACATTTTTGCCAGGGGGTGCTGGAACACTCTTTTGCCAGGGGGGAGGGGCCGTTAGTATATTCCAGCACCCCCCCCCCCCCAATCCAAAAAGTTGGGGGTGCGGCAGCACCCACAGCACCTCCTGTTCCCGCGGGCTTGAACTTCAGTCTGTGTTGGCTTACTTGCTGTTGATGATATTTGTGGTCCACTTTTTGCAACTCATTTTCATGAAAGTATCTATGAGCAGCATAATTTGTTTCAGATATTGTTTTTTCCCAGAGGACTCTGAAGTAATGGCTGCTATATTTCACCACCCATTCTCAAACCTTTCACTCCACTACACATTTTTGTCCAACAAAAAAAAAGTGAGAAGCTTTCAAACATACGCACAATTGCACAGTTCAGCGGTGATATTTTACACCACCGAGTTCACTCAAAAGATGAAATAAGCAACAAACTCTGCACAGGAACTAACGGCACAATTTTGCTTAGACCCAAGAGATAGTGAAGGATGCATCCATAATGCACGTACTGAGTGTGCATACACCCGGATAGCATCTGTGCCCAACACGTTATCCAAGCATGAGTACGTAACCGTGGTGAAACTCAAGTGTCCTTCAACATCGAAAACATATCGGTTATTTTTCACCATTGATGGGGTGTGCACAAAAGTCTTATAACTGCACTGCTTACTGGATGGGTTTTCCCAAAAAGTTTAACAAGGAACCAGGACACATCCTAACTTCATCAAATAAAAAGCCTTATTACCGACAAGCCCTTGTTGACCTCAGTAAGACACAGCCTCCTCTTCAGCTTCTCATGAATCCTCGTCCAGTCACCTCAAGGAGTCTCTTCAGAATGTTGGCTGATTGGATCCTCTGACCAGGCGAAGACTCAAACACACAGTTGTAGAGTAGGTTGGACATATTGGGCTCCAGGATATCTGGTACGTCGTGCAACAGACCCACTGACAAGAGAATAAAAAAAAAAGTGAAAACTTGTGAATTTTGAATTTGAGGTGCCAAATGAACTTGTGAATGCCATTCCAGGCTTTCTCAGTCTTCAGTGCTTCTTAGGTCTAACATACATTTTGTTTTTTACAAAGATAAGAGTTTGAACGGTGTCTAAGATGTAAAATGTCTAAAAAGAAAACTAAACACTGAAGACTGCTGGAATGAATCGGCAATATGAGTACTTAAAAAATGGTAGGCCTACATTTATTTTCTGATAATGGTTTCTATCAAGGAGTAAGATGTAAATTGTAAAATGCATTTCAACCGGGAATATCTACTCCCCTTAGCAACTCCAATGATAAACAGAAAGATTATTTTCAGATGTCAAAGCCTCTGCAACAAATGCTAACATTTTTGTTATCACCCTAGCTTTCTCTCCAACAAAACCATCTGAAGCTCTACAACAGCAACACTTCGAAAAACGATATTATCTGCATCCCTCCCCTCCTACCAAGTAGTGCAGTTGGTGGGGAGCAAATGGGGCCTCTCCTTACTGTGTAACTGCACTGACCTCTCAATCTCAAAGTAAGCCTCTGTCTGAATTCTGTTGGCTATGGCCAGTGGTAACACACTTGTCTATGGGAAGTGGCTGTAGCCGCTTCCACGAGCGCATGTGTAACTGCAAGCCATAGCAGAGTCATTCGGACACGGCCTAAGAAATCCAAAACCACTGAACTTGACCCTACCTGTTGAGACTTGTTTCTCTTTTTCGTCATAAAAGTAGCGCAGGTACTTGGTGGATTCCAGGTCTGACAGGATCTTGTGGCAGGCAAGAAGCAGCATCATCTGAGAGTGGTGGGGAACGACCCCACAATCCTGCCCTTCACTCTGGAAGAGGCTCTTGGTGAATGAGACAAAACACTCCTCGTTGCATTCTGACGGGCGTTTCTTAGCTGAAAAGACAAGATTTTCGGTGTGTTAATTGTGAAACTGAATATCCGCACTGTCCAAATTTAAATTAACAGAAAATTTTTTATCATTATCCAGTGCATGTTCTAAAAAATCCCAAACAATGAAAGTCACCCCCCTCCCCCCAAAAAGAAAAACATCTATATGTTATTTGATCAACAATGCTACGGATATCAGTGATGTTATGGATATCATGGATTTCCCTAACTGAAATAGCTTTTTTAATGATTGGGTCCAATGACACGTGTAAATCCTCAAAATTTACCTGGAACAATTTCTCTCTTGTCAATGATCATTATATCCTCAAGATCCAGTAATTGTATGCGTCCGTCCGTCGTTACTGCAAAGTTCTCATATCTGAAGTCTGCAAAGACGACCATCCAATCGCTGCTGGCATTCTGGAAATCATAGATCATCTGCAGGATCTGTCGCGACAGGTCGGCCCGGACGTCCCAGGATGCATCCAGGTATTCGCTCAGGGGTTCCCCGGCTTCTGCCACTACAATCATGCGGCCGCACTCACCCAGGTAGGTCGGGAAATACTTCTGGAGTTCGGGAACATACTGCTGGAAAAACTGAATTGAGAAAAAATAAAATGTGGTTACTGGATGACATGGCTTGCACATGTAGTTCAAAAAGCTCATCCTTAGCGAGAATCCTTTAAAAGCTTTCACTGATCATAGAATCCAGACATGGTCAGAATGTAGTAACTGCAGACAGCCAACATTTTCAACCTTCAGTTTTTTGTTAATAAATGAAATTTTGAAGATTTTTGAAATAAATCACACAGTATTGTTTATATAGTATGTTAATATAAATGACTGTGCCCTGGGCTATTTTGGATATTTGTTTCAGTCACACAATAAGAAAACAAATTGTTACTTTTGGATATACTCATTGGTAAGTCCTGATCAACTTTGACTTGAAAAACAGGGCATACAACTTGCAATGTTTTATGCTTTTTGCATTACATTTGGATAAGAAAATGGAGTACTGAAGATACATGTAGCCTACAGGGTGTACAAACCATGCCAGTTTGGCTAAAACCTTGATGTGTGATATCAGGGGTCAAAATAGCCTTCCATGTTTACTGTATTCAGTGTAAAATCCCGGCATTCAAAATGTCATGTGATATTTACCACTTCATGTTCAAAATGAGTAATTTGCTTTTTCTGCAGTTAAATGTTCGTGTCAGCCTCACTTGACCACAACATGCAATTTTGTTAGCAGATTAACTATCCAACCTACCCTGAGAATTTTCAGTAAACTTCAAAGCTTATAATTGCTAGCCTGGATGTCAGCCTAAATATGATAACATGTGCGCAAACGTTGCAGCCTACCCTGGGGAGATACTCAGAGCAGCCTATGCATCATTTCTGACGTGATTCAATAAAATGAGGAAGTTCTTGTCAGGTCCCTGCTGTAAAACTATCTTGAAAAATGATGACAAACATTTGCTGCTCCACTTGGATGGGGTGAAAGGTTCAGTATGATTACTACGTAGGATCTTATTATTCATAAATAACAGCAAAAGCGCAAGACAAGTGAAAGATTTTCACTGTTATACTTGAGCTGCCTCCCTAATTATCTTAACCTCCCATTTCCTTCCCAATATAATCCTCTGTGTTTTTTATCTGCTTTATTCATCACATATCAAGGCAGCTACTTCAGACCTTCAGCACTGAGCATTACTAGCACCAGTAGAGACCTCTCAATGATGAGTGATATTTCAACAGGCAGGAACATCTTAAGCTTTCTCCAGGAAGACAGGAAGCCAAGAATTTTGGTCTTCCTGAAAAGGGTAACCTTGATTATATTTTGACTCTCCTAATGTACAGAACATCACCAGCTGTTCTCAAAACTCGGGGTGAACTTGCCTAAATACAGATTCTGGGAACTAAAGCCTTGCTTGTTGCCAGAGGAATCCAGGGTGGTCAAAATTAAAAGGGGGAGAGGAGGGGCGATAATAGTAACATTTAAGGAGTTCATATGGCTGCAGAAAGGGCACCTGTGCATAAGCACGTTTGATGTAGACTTTAACACTGACTGGCGAGATATTTCTGATTTAGAAAATTGGGATGGAACTTTACCCTCCCAGTCCTTAGCCCCCAGTTGAACTGTTTTCAATTTAAAAACCAACTTTGGGACCACTGATGCCAGATAAAGCTAACATTAAAATAACTTTTGAATAACTTTTATCTTACAAAATGAGCAGTGCATCCATCCTTTCCTGACAAGATAAACAAATTTGGTTTGTCTGGATGTTTTTTTGGATGTAGGCAATCTAGGCATGCCAATGTTTGTAAAGACATGTAAGACCATGGTCAGACACTTGGGGGGGTCCTGTTTTTCACTCCAATAATGCACACACTTCTCAACTACCCACAAGCATCATGACCCCTAGAAAATGTACAGAGGCTCAGTTCGAATTGTTGAAAAGAAAAACATGAAATGTTAAGCTTTGCTGCTTCATAAGGCTATAGCTACTGACTAGTAGGAGCACTGAGCTCAACTGTACATGCCGAGTGAGGCCAGATAAGTCATGCCAATCTAGATTTTCAGGACATGACAATCACAGACTGATAATAGCTAGGAGATAATGAGATCATCCTTTCATTCAGAGCTGCCAGTTAATTTCCCTGGTATGATGACAACCATATTGACAGCTGCTCCTGTATGTCACCTATCCAGTGAGTCACTGAGTCTTGTTTGGGCATTTACACAAAGGTCTCTGGGTCAATATTGCTGACCATGTCCATCATTGATACCCTGCTCACCTCATTATTTGCAACCAGCTGCAAAGGAGCCTGATTTGGGGTTGGTTGGGGTGGCTAAGCAGTCCCATTGGATCTAATCATGATCATAAACACACTTCTAGTGTGGAATATAGAACCTGAAAGACATTCTGGACAAAAGTTAAACTTCTAAGAAGCTCCAAATGATGACGATAATACCAAATCATATCTTATTTAAATTGCCTTATTTGGTTTGTCTGTCTCATGTCCCTCTCTCAGTGGGTTATGCTGATGGTCAAGGATTATGACAAAGAATTACAACTCCATTACAGTACACCTGTCTTAAGCAAGGTGACTCACTTGCATTTCCCTACCTTTCAGCATAATAAAAAAAAAATAGTTTCATTTATTCACAAGAACCTCTTGTCGACAAAATTGGCTAAAGGACCGATGAATATTGTTAGCTTCGAAGACATACCGGTACAGCCTCAGTACACAAATAACACCCCACTGTTATGTTCTCTTGCGATGACTTATTTATGCAAGAGAACCTAACATTTGACAACAACATCTTGCCTGGATGAGGAACAGTATGCAGAGGTATATAGTTGCATGTTTAGGCCCTATGTTGTAATGTTCCCTTGCAATCAAGCTTCAGGGGGGTAGTTCCTCTAATCTTTTATAAAGCAGCTCACGACCTCAGTAGCACAAATGTTGACAGCTCAAAAACAAGCTTTGGATTCTTTTGAGGCCAAACAACCCGGCCACTTCTCACACTACATAAACAGCTTTCAAACACTCCAGTCTAATCTGGATTCCGAACTTGGTTTAGGCATGGTTTAAGTGATTTTCCTGACAGTCTATCTGTCAGCATTTGATAAAGGATTAGGACTGTCAGCCGGCATTGCTATCAGACAACGGAACTGAACAAAGTACCTTTATTTCACTGCAAAGATTTCCTAAACTGGGCCAGCGAGTCAAAAAAACTCCCACTCATTCCACCTTTGATTGGCTTATTTATGTTGCCACAGTGTTCTCTTTTTTCCCAGACTCTAAAGTCATTCACTGTAGCCCGAGGATATAATTTTGTTATTATTTCTCAGCATGTTTTTGCTTCCAAGGGTAAATGCGGTGAATTGAGAGGGGCACATTATTCTTGGGTGAAGGGTAGGGTAGGGGTTAAGCCTCAAGGCAGTGTGTAAATCTCCAGCCACCACAGGCAACCCAAAGCAGAGAGTTTCAATTTCCAACACACCCCCAGGGCTTCATTATTCACTCTATTACTTGTAGCTGACCATAAATTAAGTCTGTCACCCTGTCTCCTCCCAGGGGCATCATAATAGGACCAGTTCCCACCTGGTTAATGACCTCGATGACCTAAATTGGGCTCTGGATTCACATGGTCTGGTCTTCGCCCAATTACTGTTGTGAGTGATATTATCCACAACAGAGCTCATTAAGCAAGTTTAGCGCAATTTAATCAAATCTCAAAAACAGCACTTCTACTGGCTCTAGAATTGGTTCAAGGCTCAATAAACCAATCCATGAAAGGAGAAACTTTACATTTCCTACAGTTTATGTCTAATTAGTGCATACACTGAGTCTGAATATAAGTCTTTAGCCTCTTTTGAACGATTACCCACCTCTATGGATTACCCTAGAAAATGTTTAGTAAAGAAACTTATGTTCTGGGCAGTGGGCATCTGCACCCTTCCAATTGTTGCAGGTTCAAATCTCACTTAGTCAATTTTTTGATCAAACTTACATGTACCAGGTAAGTGAACCCAGTCATTTTCCCTTTGTGTATACAATGCAGTTTAATATCTAAAGTGTAGATATCAAATTTTTTTTTTGGGGGGGGGGAAATTGTTACAAATATTAACAATTTATTTTATTTTCCCAGGAGAGATTTCCAGTATTTCCAGTAAATGTACAGCTTTAAATTATGCTACCCTGCATATATGTCAATAATGTGCAAGTATGTAAATAACATCTGATACCTTGAGCAGGAGCCCCTCTGGATTCAGAATCAGTGAAGTCATGAGGGTAGCGATCTCTGGAGAGCAGTCCCTGGTCCACCTGTTGAGGCCATACAGGTCCTTCAGCTGCCCAAGGAACCGGTCACTGGCACACAGCGCCAAGCTGGGGGAGAAAAAAAGAGAAGAAAATAAGAATCCAAATCATATTTTATTGTGATTTATTTCCTCGCGGCAGAAAACCAAATGCCTGGTAAGCTTCACACAGCTGGCTCGTCAAAAAGGGTTTTTTTTTACTTTTGAATGGTTCTCAATCTCTACGAGAACTAAATAAAATTTATGAGCGTCCTCTCACTCTAAAATTACTTTCAAATGGTAAAGTTTCCGCAAATTATATCTCTGAGGATCCGTCCAATATCAGAATGCCGCTTCCTGTATGCACTCAGTCATAGAATTCCAAATACGGTCTCAAAGGACAAGTAGATTGAAACCATTTGGTCCGGGATTACTTCCAGAAAAAAATACCACTCCTCTTATTTTCCCCCTGGACACAACTCTCTAAAAATTATTTTACAGCATTCTGCAGCATTCCTTTAAATTACTGCAACTTATTGCATTGTAGTGCACATTTAACCCATTTCTTCCATCAAAAGATGATATGCACTGCTTCTTGCCTAGTGGGATGTAGCAGTCAATTTCAGCAGTGTAAACTTGACTTTAAACTATAATATTAAAGCCAATCAAAAGTTTAACCCATAGCATTCATTTTACATTGTACTACACTGTATTTACTCCTTACTGAATAGGGACCTTCATTGGGACTATGAGGATTAACAGGTAGGGCACTCTGGGGAGGTACAGGGAATAAAAAAAATAAACCAGTTTATGGTAAAAAAAACAAATTTATAATTTCCAGTTTCTCATCCCCAGTGCCCACTTTTTGTTTTTTAAATAGCTCCATCATGCATTTGCAATATATTTTGTCATTTGTTTTCAACAATTGTAGAACTTTATGTTTTTAATTTCAAAATCTGGTAGAAAGGGTGACAGCTGATCATGGCTCCTTTGAAAACAAAAGTATGTAAGAATCCATCCGCCATGTATGTAAATGTCTGATGGGAACACTTGTCACACCACAGCCCTTGAACAATTTCTACACGGTGATAAGAGAGCCTTTTCTGTCGGCCACTGCAGTTTCCATATTGTACAAGTGTTTTATCAGTCAATCATGGTGCTCATGCACCTGTGGGATTTGACATCTGCAAAACTTCCCACACTGAACCAGTTCTGAGCAGTACATGTATTTTTCTTTTCTCGTCAAAACAGAGATCCATTGTGTCATCTTTCATGGAGCTTTGTATTCATCAACATTCAGCATTTCTCATGGCTATGGTTAGATCTCTCTTAACAACAGAAAAAAATATCACACAAATGCTTGCCTGGTTTGTTGTACTTGAGAATTAAAAGGCTAATACTTCAATACTATTAATCCGTGTGAAATTGGTGACCTCCAAATATGCTTTTGTCACCCAATGAAAAATACAAATCATTTGATAATCCAATTACACAAAAGACTTGGCAGGCACTGTGCAAGTACATACATTTGTACATGTAGGTCATCCAGTTTTCTCCACACCACACTGCATACTTTCAACCATTTGAAAAGTGTGAACAAATTCACCTGATCTTAATTTCTTCACTTAATGTCAACCAAAAAAAATAATGACGCAAATTTTCTGTACACACGTTAACACAGTGTCAACACTCTTAATAAGAAAGCCTTCAAGAGTCAGAAACTATGCTTGAAATTTAAACCAGTTGCAAGTGTATTACTTTGGGGGGGGGGTAATAGTACGGTAAATAGGTCTAGTATTTACTTCAACAATGTACATGGCTTGCTTCCCTTTCCAAACTGCAACAATTTTCTGGACAATTCGGACTGTTCTTTGGTCAGACAGTAAATAATTTGAACTGAAGTCTTCATTTTCCAAATATTAAAATCCAAGCATCAAGTCCTAAAAATATACAAAACCAGGTCAGGCACAACTTTTTGAAAGCATACATAAAATTTGTAAATTGATAGAACAGACTGTACATAAATTCTATCCCACCTTCCCACAAATAGAGTACATCCAAATGTACATTGTACCACAAATGTCAGTTATTATATCACTCAGGTGGAGCGCAACAGATCGGATAAAGAATAACCACTGTTGCAAACCCTTGTTGGTTTAACGAACACAATGCTTCATTTCATGCATTCTGCTCAAACCTTTACCCCCGCACTTTGTGCAATATTATGTGCTATTCAAACCACAAACAAAACAAAAACAGGTTTTCCTGCAGGCTGTAACAACAACAAAGAAGTAGCCAGGTTAACAAGTAAAATGCTTAAGCACATCCAAAGGTTGTCATAGCAACCATTGTAAGGGGCCAAGTACACCTTTCAAGGCTATGGAAACTGATACACCGCACACCTGTGTTAATAATTTTTAATGTCGCCTTTTAACTAGGCCTATAAAAAAAAAACACTGTCCCTGCAAAGGTTGTTACCTGGCGACCTACTATTATGCAGGTTTAAGTAGCTTGGTAACCCACATAAAAGCATTTTAAATGTAAACTTTGTGCAAATTATGTCCCCACTCACCAATAAAATACAGAACAGTTGCCTATGATATGTTTCAGAATGCAACTTTATCTACGGTGAAAAAACTTCCAATGTCTGCCAAAATGTATTTTTCAAGGGTATATATCTTGCTGGTGTTAATATGCACTTGACACTAGAAGGCAAGATGCAAAAGCAAGTTCTACAAACAAAATTACGCCTTTTTACTAAGTTGAACTTGTAGAATGAGGTTTGTGGGTGACTAAAAGTCTCTGCTGTTGAAAAGTGTTCGGTTCTGAGAGAACCAGTTGTGACAATGTTTTTACTTACATGGACAGAATCATACTCTCAGGCAAAATCAGCATTTAATGTCTGAAACATTGGGCAAGCATGCTCATTAGCGGTACTTTCAAATTAAAAACCTAGCCTTAAGTTTGACACTCTAATGACAAACACATGGTGTCAGCCAAAAACCTCATTATACATTTACGTGTACTGTACACATTATTCATTTCACCAAAATCCTTGAAATCAAAATAATTTCCTGCATTTCTTCTAATGGATGCAAGGTTTAAGATCAATTATTCCAAAATAGTTGCACACTTTGCTTGAAAACAATTGGCCCATCGACCTGCTAAGGCACATGTGACCCTGCAACTGAAGTATAAGAAGGGAAATTACAGAAGCCGCCAGCATCCGGCAGGGCAATGCCCTCAAGGAGCTTCCCTTCGGGCAGGGCGAAAACAACAAGACAATGCCTTCATCATTACCATCCAACCAAAAGGAAGGCCTACCCTATTATGCCGTTAACCTTTTTAAAGTAACTTTTACGGAGGGGGGGGGGGAACACTACACCATTGTGGTTCTGTTATTCATGTAATTGCTACAGATACCGGTAGAGGATGACAGATATTTCCCCTTCGTTCTCCCATTACCCTCCTCTTCCTCTTGTCCCTCTTTGTTATGACATCCAAGTGTCTGTCAATTCCAGTGAGTGGGTGTCCTATTCCCCATGGGGTAAGTAATACTTCAAATCTCTTGTCAATTACTTTTACTAGGGGCAGTTTAGCAGCCAAGCTTACTGGAAGTAAAATGATGGATTACAGACTGGAATTTCACAGTGCTCCATCTAGTTCTGGCAATACTCTTTCTTCAAGCTCTACTCAACCATGCTCCAGCTTAAAAACAAGCCCCAATCTATTGTTTAGTCTCCATTCCTGTTCAGTGGTCTGATTGATTTCCTTTAAGCCACAGCCCAGCTTGTTTACAAAATACCCATTAGGTTTTGGCAAAGGCCTATTATTGTCAACTGGCTGGTGGTCAGACTAGATAGAAACCCAATCCTTGGTCATCCATAGGAACACCAGGAACAACCCAGCACAGAGAGGCAAAGCAAGTCACCAATGCGTGAAGCTGTCAAACAAATTTGTAATTTCTTTTTCTCACTGGCCTGAAAGGGAGCAATTTTGGCAACAACTGTTTTCAAAGAAATATAATTATTCTAAAATTGGGAGCAAAGATTATCAAAAAAAGAGTGGACATCAGGGGGTTAATAATATTCATTGAGTTTTCTTTTTCTCCATTGCCACTGTCAGATACTTGCAGCTTTCTGGACAAAGATTGGTTTGGAGCTGGTGATTGACAATGGACTGTGGGTGATCAAAAACAGGGTGTGCCAAGTCGTATTTAATTCAATTCAAATTATCCAAACGCTTTGAACTTATCCAATCTCGATGCTCTTGAAACTGAAAGCAACAAACAAAATGTATACTGGTTTGGCCTTTTCTGAAAAACCCTATTCAAAATTCCTTAAATACCTGCATGTATTGAGAAATGTCTAACATAACACACACTACATGTATGACCAATAAAGGCCATCCAATTAATTATAGTCTTTTACACTATATTATTAAAATTGCACCAGTTGGATTAAATTAGGTTTCTAATTACATGTATGATGTATCATAAAAGAAGGAAACCCACAAGTTCTACAATGTCAGCATATGTATGTAATCCATGAGTGTGGGTGTGCATGACTTTTTTCCCCATTGAACCCGTTTGTTTACTTAATTTGATATCAAGAGACCCAATATGGGTATTGTGATATCAGTTGTAAAGCTGGGATTTCTTTACCACATGTTTTGTCTGGCTTAGTTTTCCCTAGTGTTTTGTGTGGTTAACTGTGAAATCAGGTGTAAAATAAGCAACAGGTGACATTGCCAATCAATGTGTCAATCAAGAGGCTGGACAAATGGTCAAACCATGATTTCGAGGATCTCTCCAGAACTAATGAAAATAATGTAGGCTATGTTCCTCACAAACATGTAGGCCTGGGCATTTCTGATTCGATCTGCTTGTACACATGCATGGAACTTTTAACAATAAGTCAAAAAAAAAATTGCTTGCTCTGGTACGTGAGCAACAATAAATGTGCCCTGTGCGAAAATCGAATCATCTATTTTGCCTCAAGGTGTATATATGTAGCCTTTTCATTTCTGTGAAATATGGCATTGAGGGGAACAACACAGAACGTAAAGTGCATATTGTTCACATTGTTCACCAAACTATTTCAAGTTTCCAAAGCGATATAGTATGCTGACCCACTTTCTGAAATTCCCAGCCCCCCCCCCCCCCCCCCCATATGAAATCTGCAGGGGGAAAAAAGGCAACACGAGAATTTAATACCGCGTATAGGCTAAATGTTTGTTTGGATAAATGTCCACTGTGAAAATTACAGGAAAACACAGGGACATTTCAGGTTAGTTTTATTTCCTGTGACAAGAAAACACCCAACCATAAAAACCATGTTTAACTGCCTCCAAGAGGAAGTGTGGTTTATTCATCAAGGATGGTGTTCTGATATTCTAGAGTAAACACGTTTAACCTTAGCTGCAAAGTAAAAAAAAACACACTTTTTTAAGGTCAGTGATATTAGTCATGGCCAATCTGTTGGAAAATGATGCTAGTCTTGATTTCAAGACCTTCATGATTTTTATGTTTTTCCAGTTTACTTCCAGGATCCTCCGCTGTACTCAATTCTTAGTGCTGTGTTTTACTTGACTCCTAGGCTCTGATGAGAATCGATTTAACTGTAAACATTTGACTCCTGACGTGCTCTACAGTAAGGTTGATCAGGAAAAGGACGACCAGTAAATTGAGTCCTTTGTCGATGACAATTTACCAGTATGCACCGCGCTCAAAAAATGAATTGCGTAACAATTATCAGAAATTATCATCTTGGACCAACAATTTCATGATGCCTGACCTGTGTGCAACATGTTGCATGAAATTATTCCCCCTCTTCCCACTGGAAGTTCTAGTATTCATCAATCATTCGGTCTCAAGTCAAGTCATTCTATCACGAGTTATTCAAGTGGGCCTAAACTGTGACAAAGGCATTCCTTTGTCATTGTTCAGTCCCTGCTAGGCTGTGACCTTACGTGTGAGTGAGCTGTGATTTGACTTGTGATGAATTATTTGCAATATTTTGTAATGGACTTTACTACAACCCTTGAAGTGTACGAATACCTTGAATGGGAAATTGTAAGTGACCCCAAATGGCCAGAGTGTCAATACAAACTCTGTTTGCTAACATTTTTAATACCAGGCCGGATGTTGATTTTTAGCAAGTGACCCGCTGTTGTTTATTTTCTCAAATCTTTGGTTCATAGTCCATTGCTCTGTTTGGAGAAAATGTCTTCAACTAAATTGAGAGCATCAAAGAACAATTTAATAGCTTACAAAAGTCTTCAGTGCTTACCCAAGAGAAGATGGAGTTTTCTGTGCCACTTTGTGTGCATCCTTCCGGATGTACTCGACGTCTAAAGCCATCCTGCTTGCCAAATGTGAGTGAAGAATGTCCCAGCTCACATCACATGACTGATTGGGACGGATCCGACGACTGCTGTTCTGACAGACAAAATGGTCCAACCGCTTGAACTCACTTGGATCAGCAAGGTGCTTGCCTACTATCCGCTGTCCCTCCATGTGACCAAAGAAAACCCCCTTCCGCTTGGCCTGTCCGGCAGTCTCCATATCCAGGGTGATATTACCGGCATAGAATTTGTCGCAAAGGGTAGTGCCATAGCAACCTGGGCATTTTTCTTCCTGAAGAACAGCCGGGGAAACTTTTGAAAAGCGTCTTAAAGGTTGCGTGCTTATTCTTGAGGTGCTTTCCAGGGATTGTTTTTCAGCTATGATCTCTTGGTTACCACCACCTTGCCCAGCATACTCCATTACTCCTACTCCGAAGTCCTTCAGTGATTTAACCTTAGCATTGTCACTCCTTGTTTGCCCCTCTTTCCACGTTCCGAAGTTCCACGGGTCTTGAGAAGTCGGCAGGCCCGAGTTCGGGTAATCTTTAGCAGTTCGCTCAAAGGATCCAAGACTGAGGTTGAAGAGTTGTACACTGACAAGTGAACAGAGAAGAAGCCCAAGGAGAAGACCCATTCTCCTCCTTACACGAAACGCCAGCATCTCTCAAGTAGTTCAAGTCCCACAGTGTAAACAGATCTGTCAACAAAATATATGTAGAAACTTTACATCCAGAAAAGTGTGTACCGCGTACAGGCTTGTTGCCATGTAAAAAAAAAATTCAGTCAATACTGCAATTGCAGGAGGATCCCCCTATTTGTAGAAATATACAGTCAACACTGCAATGAGACATAAAGAAAAACTCCCCTGTTTTGTTTTAATCATATAAGTCGCATGGTTATTTGTTGTTTTTCAAATGCCCCATTTGTGGCGACAGTGAAGTCTTTACGGGTGTAATTTGAGAGTTTGGGTGCCGGAATATATGACCTCTTATTTGCATATTCAATCTTTCAAATATCAGCTAGTCGACTACATTGAAAAAAATACATACACTACATGTATGTACACATGATGTATAAGCTCGTTGTCAAGTTTGACAAGTGCGTGCAAAACTGCAAATTCAGATTGGCAACTCATTTGATTCCTGACCGGCGCAAGATCAAATAATCGAATACTGAATTATTCTGCAATGCACAATCCTAAAAGGGAAAGAATATTTAATTTTTGTCTGAATTCTGAGTACAATTTCATTTAGTCCGTGGTGTCAACAGGTGCTCATAAGGTCTTGTGATTTTTTTCATTATGACCACAAAATTCTCAGCAAAGATGCTTTTCATGATTCAGACAAAAACTCAGACAGTTTACCTAAGATACTTGCCAAGAGTTACAGAGTAGGAAATGACTAAATCACCGCAGAATTCCAAGTCTGGGTTGTTGTCCAGACAATTGAGGTTAGGTCATTGGGGCTCCCACGGGAGGAAAAAAGGGTAGACAAAACTGCATGGACTACATTCACTTTGTGTTAATGTGGCCAAACCCTTTCAATAAATGCACTGGAACTAGACACAAAACATTTCAAGCATGTGTAAACATATTCACTATTTCACATCAGCCTGGGGGGTTTTGATAAAATACACTGTATGTCTGTATGCGACATCTAAACGTATAAAGGCCTCCACTGTCTGCCTGAATGTATACATGTACAAAGACTCGTAGGAAAGCTCAATACACTGACTGATTGCATTTTGAATTGGATATTTTTGAAAGGAAATGACATCAGAGTGGACAGATTATGCTGTTCATCGCACCTGTGTTCTGTGTTTCCGTATTCATTTGAGGCCCACACTTATCAAAAATCTCAACATTGGACTCGAGGCAAACCCCAAGAATTTGGCAACCCCATTGACACTACTGGCAGCAAGAATCTGCTAAGCACACAATTTTCTGCAAACTGTAAGCAGTAAGCAAGCAAAAGCATGCTTAACCCCGGAGGAAAATCGCTTAAATCAGTGAAGTAAACAATAGAAATCTCCATGCGTGCGCAACCGTTAGCACATCCATACCATGAAATACATGTACATACATGTACACGTACTACACAATTTTCTGCTATAGGCTATTTTATTTTTGCAAACTGTCAAGCAGTGCCACTGGTAAAATTCAGCCCTTGTTGGGAAGTGTTGAATGAAAGTTCTACCTGGGCAGACAAACTGAAAACTGCGGTGATGCATCTGCAACATTCAAACCAGTAAAAGTGTGAATAGTTTGCCTTATATGCCACTAATGGTAGACCTGAAACAACAGCATTGAAAGGCCTCATGACATGTCAAATGTTGCAACAAATAGTTGTAGAAATTTGTATGAATGTTTTATCCACCAAACCCCATACTGACAATGCCACTTTGAGATATTCCCCACAAACAATGTTCCAAAAATAAAAGTACAAGGGCAGGAGACCTGGGCAAAAATTTTTACCCAAAATAAATATTTATTCACCGAGCAGAGTTTCAGGGACACTTACAATGTTTCTGTGAGATCCCATATCTGGTTCCTTAGCATAACGCCATCATTGACTATCGCTATAGAAACAACCGCAGGCCGGTTTGTATGACTGCACTGATAAACTACATTTGCACAAAATGGAAATGTTTACAGAGGCGATGGAACAATGATAAGTCTTTGGAGATTATTTTAGCACTGCATGTAGAAAGTAGGTACAAGTGTCCAATCCATGTCGCAACAGACACTGAAACAGAAGGCCTTTACATGGAAAATAGTCGTAGTGTGCTCCATGAAAATATTGTGGAAAAAAATGTGAAATGGTGGGATTGAAAATGTCGCTTTGTAATTCAAAAGGAGCTTAGAGGGCAATTAACAATCAAACAGCCAAATAATGTTTTAGGTCTAACTCTAGTAAAATCATAAAGCCACAATTCAATAAAACTGAACAAGTGTTTTCACTTCAGATGATCCTGTTTAATGGCATGGGTTATCTTGCCATTTTCAACAAAGACCAGTTATTCTGGAGCATAAAGCTAGGTTAATTGTGCCATTAATTCATGTAGTGTCCACAAATATTCGGAGTCCACGCTTTGAAGTATTTAAGTTATTGCTCAATAAAGTAATGAAAATTCCAGATGCTGTCTGATCTCTTTTCATGCACAAGATGATTACAAATCAAAGGTTAGAAATATCCAATCACCACAGCAAATTTGATTCACAGATGCATTACACTGTTTAAAGTTTTTGGAGGTATTAAAATTACGGGCGAACGCAGTTACATTTTTACTAAAAAAATATTCTATTAATTATTATGATGCAAAACAATGAAGCAAAAGGGGATTACTTAGCTGGAGAATGCATTGACATATACCTCAATATGCAGTCATGCACATAGGAATTCACACAAAAAAGAGGAACATTCCATGTATTCAAGACTCTTTGTAGTAGATTTATAGGTTTTTCAATATATTAGGCCCCAAATATTTTTTTGGCCTTATCAGAGAAACTCATCTGAGGAAAGTTGCATAGGTTAGGGTAAGGGTTAGAATATTTCATTCGATTCAGTGCATTTTGTAAATATCGAAACTTCTACACTCACAAATCCTTTTATAGGCTCTAGACAATACAGCACTTACCACAACCAGGTTTTGAAATAGGCCTAAATCCATTTGTGGATTCTGATATTCCTAGCTGCAATGACCAATGCATGATGACAACTTATTCTTAACATAAAAAATTACTCCTAATAACTGACTGCAGTTCCTTGAACACACAAACTTATCAATGCATTCCACTCAACTGCTAAATTCGGCCAACTACTCACTGAAAAAGTTCTGCACATCTGGGAAAAGTTACCTGTATTCTGTCAAAACAAATCAAGTTCCGTTTTGGATCTCCGGGTCAGCGCCATTAAACACTACAGCAGACGAAACTCACATTGAACTTTTTCCGAGACCAAAAGCCTGTCGTGCTGAAATACTTCTACACTCGTACACTGTCATCTACCTACTTTGCTTCGAGTCAGCGAGCTGTTACATGCAGGACACTTAAAAACGACTTATCACCCCTACAATTGCTGTGTTTTTATGGACAAATTTACTCAACTTTGAGCAAACAAGTGCATGTCTATCGCTGAGTAGCAATGCAAAGCTGATTGACCATCTAAATTAAAACTTCGCGGCGATATCAAGCATGCAATACGTACGCGCATATCATGCATGCACGCACGCACTGCCCGGCGCCGTACGTACAGAACGAACTTTTTACCGTGACATTGGTTCAGCCAATGACGGCTCAGTAGACATAAGTGGGCGTGTTTTATACGATCGTCGGGCCAATAAGCAGTCTCCTTTCACACTCCGAAAAAAAAATCGTCGCCTTTGTTTCTTCTTCTCGTGTGTTTGCCAACCAAAATTATTTTTAGGGCCTAACAAAAGAATAAATAATCGACCTTCCCCAATAATAAAGAGAGAAAGAAATCAAGCTCCGGAAGCAATAATTGTTAGTGACAGCAAAATCAATCAACCATTTTTTGTCTTCTGACAGACTAACAAAGGTTGAGTGTAACTGGAAGCCAATGACCGGAGATCATTTTTTTCCATTAACAAATCAATTTCACGGTTCCATGTTGTCTTTTCATTTCCAACGATGACGTCAAATGCCAGTTTTTTTGTTATGAATTAAACATGTCTTTTAACTTGGGAGAAGTATTGTAGAGCTTTATCCTGCTGAGAGAAACCAAGCCTACTATCTCCCTTTTATCTGAACCGCTTCGAAACCTTGGCGCCAAATTGATAGAAATACTTTTGCATTTGGCAGTGCAATAAACCCTTATAAATCCCGAACTATTTTCGAGTTTCACCTCGACAAAAAAATAGTTTTTCAATTGCTATTTACTAAGCAATGTAATAGTTAGTCACTTTTGAGTGAAACATTGAACAAACCAAAAACACCTACGTTTTCTTATTGAATTATTTCTTCAAAACAATTCGAATAATTGGCTGCTTCACTGACATTATAATCGACTTGCATCAGGCCGGGTTATTCTGTTCACAAAATGCAATTTTTTTTTCAGAGGGTCCGGTTGCAGACGCCTGAAATTGGAATAGGATAAAGTATTTTTGTGTCGAAACAAAAGATAACGTTTAAATTGAAAAGTCGTATGGAGAACAATGGTTTTTTTTTTTTTTTTTTAAGCATGCAAAACAGTTATTTCTACACACGTAAAGGTCTAAAGTATTCTTGCTGGCGTTCAGTTACTTTGTATAAGTTCAGATAAAGTTAGCACTGAACATAAGAAAGAGCTTAATCAGTGGAGAAAAATGCGACGAAAGAATGACCCCTCATCACAACAATGCATCCGTGAAAAAACTTGTCCATCAACAATGCAACCATGGCGCCACGGCGGGCCATGTTCGACAATCCCATCACGCGCTTCTGTCTGCTGCTGGCGCTCCATTCCCTCTCATTCTGACATTGCCCTTACAATAAAAAAGACCAGAGACGGCTCAATTGTAAGCGACAATTTGTTCCTCTCGGATGTAAGTATCGGATCAAGCGCTTTAAGTTGTCAGTTCCAACGAAAAGCTGGTCAGTTCACGCGGCGAAGCATGATGGTCTTTTTGAACCATGTGAATTTTCTAACGTCAATAATACCTTCCCATCCCACTTGACAGCTCTTCCAGCAAAAACTTGATTGCACCACGGAGCACTCCTCGGATTAGGCCAGATAATCCCCTCTGTCAATACTATTATCGGAGTAAGATGTATCAATGTGTGGGATTATCCCGATTATTTGACTGACAATCCTTAAACCGATTATCTCGCTATTGTTACAGTGAGAGTGCTTTTATCTAGCATTCTTGTTCTTCCACCAAGATGAACCCGTTTTAAAAGAAATCGATTTTTGTTTCGGTTAACATTGCACTGTTCGTCTAGCAAACCGGAACTTTCTTTTGTGACTGACTTTAAAGGTACAGTTCCTAATCCACCTAAGAAAAGGTTTTGCCTCACCTCCCCTTGTTTCGATTGGCCGGGTTACATGGAATCTTCGCACGCTCATGTTGGGAATAACAATGAAGGATGGATAATCGAATTTCACGAATTATTCATCTTCGATGCACTGCATGCTCTGCAACTTTGTACTCCCAAAAACCTTGAAATTGAGAAACTGAGCCATGAAACACGAAAATGAAATAGAAAATGTTAGTTCGTATACAAAAAATATGGTTTCAGCGTATGTCCCCATCCCGGCTTTGTGTTGCACCATGATTGCACCCAATTCTTATGGGCGCAGCGAACATAGAACAACATAATCAAGCACGGACGCGGCGGTCGCGGCCTATAGGTATAAGTGAAGGAAAACATTGTCATTTCTCTTCTACATTTATTTTATGACCGTTCATTGAGCACATCCAATTATTTAAGGCAAGGCATTGATTAGCCCGAAATGTGACCCAATTACTGGACTTCCTCTATATTGTGCATTTTGAGGAAATCGAAATCGGGACTGTTTTTTTCCCCACTCGATTGAGTCGATATTCACCATGGAAGACGCTTACCCGGTTATAACCAGGGCAAATCCGGTAATTTTAGTTTGCAAAAAGATTGCAGTGATTTTCCCTGGGTCACAGGTCATGTACAATTAACCTTTTGATTTTCCCAGGTTTTTCCTGATTTCGATTTCCTCAAAATCAACTTTTCTCCACAAATAATATGACCGCTGTGTGGCTCAATACGGAGGAAGTCCAGTATTTGAGCCATGCGTGGGGCTAATCCAATTCTAAATTGAAGGCGAGGCACGCAGTGACCACATCACTCAAAACAAAAACTCCTTGGTCTCCCGTCGTCTGTAAAAGGAATGCATTGTAGATGTAAACAAAAATAATCAGGTCAACTCTTTGGTGTCGACATGTCATGTAGGCCAAGCACATACAGCTTGACTATTTGGACACGAACAAAATGACCACAAACAAACACCCCAGAATTCACATTCATGAGTACAAGTACGTTCTCACCTTTGAACGGCACTCGTTGATTTAAGTTTTAACCTGCAGTCTCTCTAAACGAATCTAAGATGAAAGTGGCGTTCACGTCGCGGGGTTAATGACCTCTCATACAGATGACTTCTGGCTTATATGATCCTGTACAGTTAGTTCAGATGTAACTAAATACTTTGCTGTCGCAGCAGACAGTGAACTCAGCTCCAGAATCCTTTGAAAACAGAAAATTTGAGCTCAATAAAACACAAGTCTTTTCCCGTGATGTACAAAACTCTTTGCGAACGAACGTATCGGATGCTCTCGATCCCTACAGACTTTAGTCTACGTGTTATGTACGTACTGAAAATCTTTCACTGCAGAATAAACGCCTACACAAGCGTTCCATTGAAAACCCTCCGGGTTACACCGCCACAAAAATAAGTCAACATCTTTTGACATCATTGTTACAGTCTTGCGCACATATCAGGCTGACTTGTAAAGCTCATTCTAACCCTTCTGGGGGAGATGTTACTGTGGCATTGTAAATCTGATTAGATGGTTCTTGTGAGAAGCATTGTTCCGGTTGAGACCACCAGGAGAGGGATCCGGTCGTGGAGGAATCGATCCAGGAACAGGGGAGAATCGGAAAAGCCTTAGAAGTTTGGATGAAGGGATCATGGTGCACATTAGAGGTTTTTTTCTTGTTTTCGTCTACACACACAGGCTTTTGAACGAAAGGCTAACTGAGCAAAGTTAACAAAAGCATGGTGCCTCCTCCTCAGTTGCCTTAAAGCGATTTAAAAAGAAGTTTCCAACATTTTATCCAACTTTTTGTCAGAAATCCAACTGTTATGGCAAACTATCAGATAATCAGTCATGCCCCCCTCCCAGAAAAAAAAGGGGGGGGGGTCCCTTGCAGAATAAACATTTTTGATTTAATTTTTAAAGTGACTGTTTTTGTTTTGGGTTTTTTTTTTCATCTTTGATATGATCACCAATTAATTATCAGGTACATCAGCTTGGGTCCCTCAGCCCTACGAATGAAAAAAAAAAATACCGTTTAGATAGGGAGAGAGGGCGCTCGTCAACTTTACCTAACAAAGAATCATTCAGTGGCACCCGTTTTCAGACCATCAGAGCCTGGCGCCCTAGATTACGTCGCACTGAACTAGATATACATGTAGTACCACCTTTAATCGGCAAAGTAAATGACAGTTTCACACATAAGAGCTTCATGTAATTGGCTGATCTTTCGACGCGTGAAGGGAGTCGCTCATATTGTTTTCAAACGTCGAAATTATAATTTAAGTCTTCCGCCGAGCCCGGCGCGACTCTGAAGCGCTAACCTGAAACGGATGTTAACTTCAGTACAATTAATTTTACGCAAACATTATATTCAGGGCTCTTTTTTTATACCGTTATTGCATTATTTCTGTTATATATTTCTACAGAAATTTTTGTTAGTTTGTCCGTTTTATTTCGGCACTTCCCAAACAGGCCAAGCAAACAACAAAATAACCCAATCTTTTTTTTTTGCTTGTAGGTTTTTCTTTGTCCCTAGATTTTAATAAATTAAAGTTATTTTCAATTAAAGTGAAAATAAAGTGATTTTGAAAATCTTCCTGCTCTCGGTATTTTACTCTATTGCCAACTTTCGTATTTTCTGCACCTTTCCCTAAAGATTGCCAAAAATAATGACCACGAGAGGGCGCCAGAGAAAAACACCAGGACGAACAACTTGCAAGGTGAACATGAAGGGAGCAGAAGTTCGCCGGATCAGGAATCTGCAGTTAAACGGCGGCATTGTCAATGTAAATCTATCTCAAAAGCTAGGAAAATAAAAAGAACTACATGTATATCTCAACGTCTATATAAAGGAGAAAACTTAATTAAAATGAAAGATATAAAGCCTATGAAAAACTGTGAAATTTTCTTTCCTTTTTTTCAGAAATAAAAATCAAATTTTGCTTTCAAATTAGGTTTTGCCCTTCACCTACGTTTTTTAAGTTTATAAGTTTATAAAATTTTGCTTTTAAAAATTAATTGTATTTTAACGATTCTCTGGCTACTACTCTTTGACGTTGCCAAAGTGGGCGTCGCCATACATGATTTGTTAGAGTGCTAGTGGGGGAGCAAAACACTCACCCGGCCCTATAGAGGTGATGCGAGAAATCACAGACCGGTTTTTCTTTTCTTTTTTTCTTCTCTCCCCCCCCCCCCCCCCCTTCCCTACTTATCCCTTTGTTCCCTCGTTGTTGTTGTTTTCCGACAGACCGCTCTGTGGCGGAAAAAAAAAGAGAGAAAAATCAACGCCGCCCACTGCGAATGTCAACAGGAATATTTACCATGTCAAATGGTAAAATAATGGCTATACATTTAACATACATGTTTAGCATAAAATATGTTTAGTTATTCAAAATTTATAAAATTCAAAGAGCGACCAAAAACTGTCCAATTATCTGGTTGTTATTATTATCCCACCCACTTTGCGTACTGCATCGAGTCACGCGCGCTAGCTGCGGCTCACACGATAACACTGTTGATTGGTTTAGCCAACACAGCCTCGATCACGCATGAGTGTAATAATCTTGCGGTTATAACTTATTCAAAATGCATTTTGAAAATATAATTGTACATTTAAATGAAGAATAATATTACTGTAACTTTTTTAAGTTATCAAATTGTCATGTACATCTAAAATTTACCATCTTTATCATGATTTAGTTCTTTACTTTTTCTTAACTGTGATCGAGGCAATATCCATGTGTGTGCGGAACCAAAATGGCGGAACACAGTGGACAATACGACGCAGCTAACACTGCAAAACGAAACCAAAACCCACCCCAAATGGCCTCCAAAAGTCCTGGTAACCGCCACAAAAATGTCCAGAAATCCACCAAGAATCAGGATCCCGGAGAGGAGGTGGAATTGGTGCAAGCTCCGGAGACTGAGCAGCTGAGGTTTCCGTCTACCTCCAAGGCGGTGGAAGGACTGTTGACTTTCCTGATTCTTTTCTTGGCCTGCCTCGCTGCGTTCAGCTCCCGGCTCTTTGCCGTGATACGCTTCGAGAGCATCATCCACGAGTTTGATCCTTGGTGAGAAATGGTCTTTCAAATTCTGATTTCATTGTGGTTTATATTTCGTAATATCTCAGGGAGTGGTTCTGGTAGTTAAGCCTGGATTTTTGATCTTGTTCTTTTTTTTTATTTGTGGGGCCAGCATGGGCCATGGCGGGCCACGGCGCGCCAGGGGGCCAAGTTTGTTTGAATCAATGAATGACCATGATGACCCATCCCACTCCCAGCTGAATCTGATGATTGGACTTTTTTCTTGTTGGGCGATTGTCTAGTTACGGGCCCCTCTTTTGTTTTAGTCCATGACTAGAATGTTTATCGTTACCAAAAACACCAAATTACTTGCAACCTCAAGCAATCCTCTTTTAATTACGATGGCCCTATTTGTCTTAATTTGGAACCGTATCTTTGGGCGGAAAATGTAATTCTCTTACCAATTTTCCAATTGATGCCATGCCAATCATAGCAGATTTTTGTATTCACTGTGCATGGTGATTATCACCATCTTTAGTTAATTCATGTTGTATTTTTTTTATCTTTGTTATCATTTTACTCCTTAATTTCCCTGACATTCCTGTTGGGTTTTCACATTGCTAACTATTGAGATGGCTCAGGAACCTACATGTAACTCTTGATTTTCGTTCGTATGTAGGAACTGGGCCCATAACTTCACTATCCGCTGTATGTTATTATCTGTTTGACATGCTTTATGACATGTGAAGGATGCTTGAATAAAAAGGATATTTGAATGTAAATTCATTGAATGTTTCAAAGAGGTACGAAAGAATGTTTTTATTCACATAAATATAAAAGTAAACACTGTTGTAGGCACGGGCGTCACTACTGGGGGGGGAGGGGTTCAACCCCACCCCCCTCCCCATTAGTCAGTTTTGTTGGCAACATCATGGTGCTGTCATCGAAATAGAAAATGAAGAAAGGAAAAGGAAGCCGAAGGGGAAAGCAAGAGGGAAGAAGAAATAATGGAGAATGTACACAATAAACACCAGTGCTCAAAACCATGCGAAGCTAAAATCTGGTTCTGCAACCCATGGCAAAAGATTGTACATTCTGTCATCATGTCGGCACGAGCTGCCGCGCGAGGTCGCTTCATATGGGCAGTTGACAGCTACATGTACAGCTGTGCAAAACATGAGCAAGTGCTCGCTCGCAGGCAGTTATGAATTGAGCTGATTCTTAGTGACGACTCAAAATCATGGATCAAGCTAAAGAGTGAAAATCGAAAAAATGAATCAAGCTACAGTTTTGATGTGATGTTTGTGATGTACATGTATCAACTTTGATGAACCACCCCCATCTCCCTAAACACGCGTGTACACATGGTTTTGCAATATGATAGGACCAAATTTGGACGATTTATTTTTGAAGTTGGACTTATCCAACTGAACAATGTAATCCATTCAAACTAATCAACATGTATTAATTAACCATTCATAGAGTTGTGGAGGAAATTATCAATTACACTCATTTTGCGTGACGGTCCGTCGGCAAATTTCATAATGGCATCCACCCCCCATTCAAAATGGTCTAGCGACACCCTTGATTGAAGGCATATTATGGCAACTTGTAATTTTAAAAATTAAAAGGAGTAGGCCTATTACAGTTATTTATATTCATATTTTTTTTTAAACATTCACTGTTAGCTAAACAATTTGTTTCTTATATGGCTTAACCCTAACCTTCCCAAATCCTGCAAAATCCTCCTTGCATTAAGTGGAGGATTTCGAAGGTTTGAGGCTGTATGGCAAAAATGTGTGGCTGATATTAGAGGATGCACTGTGTCAAGGTCGTAGGCCGGACCTTGTGTTGTTTATGCTCAGCCGCGCATATATTTTGGCCTAGATTATACTTGAAATCCTCCGCACTGCTCAAGGATGTTACTGGCTCTGCCTCAACATATTGACAGGCAGGATTGAGGCAGTGGTCATCCCTCCAAGAAACACATTCAACAAATAACGGAGGATTTTGGAGGATTGAGGCTGTATGCTATTTTTACATAGTTGAATGAGTTTGCGGAATTGAGGTTTCACTTAGCAAAAATGCCTAGGGAGTTCAGTTAAGGTTAAATAATGATTTTCGGGCCCTAAGATAATTATTTATCTGTCATCCCTTACATGTACAATGTACGTGTCTTATCATTTCACTTAATGAAATAATGTACCAGTACATTGTACATGTAGTCAAAGCCTTATCAGAACAATTTGTGTGAGCAACTAGACAATCAAGTTTTGCAGGCATTAAAGGGAATATACATCATTTGCTTTTGCTGTAATTTTCAGAAATGGATGGAATTGGGGGGTTGGAAATATATAGCAAATATAGTTACACTGACTTTTTTGAGGTTTTGGGTTCGAAAATGCTATAAAACCAAGAAAAACAATCATTTTCCTGTAGTCTGGCTCCCTGACTCCATATAAGAAGAAACAGAGCAGTTTACATACATTGGGGAATTGTAAGGTCAGGGAACCAGTCTAGCTGGCTTGTACCCGTTCATAGGTGTGTAATCGATTGCAAACAAGTGCGATGGTCAATTGGGGCCAGTATTTGAAAAAAAAGCCAGTTTTTTTCCAACGCTGGTCGGCCGATCAGCGTTGGAAATTGATACAAAAATACCACTTTTCTTGAAAATGACAGTATACCAGGTGCCATGATTTTACAGGATGCTTTACACTGTCATTCTCTAACAGTCCAGCAAGGTATTTCAAAATGATTTGGTAGTTTTATTTTTTTTATGTTTGCAAATGTTGTATTTTCCCTTTAACCGTAGGCCTAATTAACCGTATATTACCTATCCTCAAAATGCAGGTTTTCCGGTATTTTGAAAGATTTTTGTCTGCACAGCAAAGTCAAAAAAAATTTGTAACATGTGGATTGATGATGCAATTTTCTCAAAGTATTATCAGTAAACATGCCAATTGTACAATACATGTAGTATAGGCAGAAATTAATCCCAGCACTGTTTTGCCAGTACTACAAAAGTAGCTATGCCAGTTTTCAAAAAAGACTAAAAATATCAAAACCAACATTGTTCAGTTTCACTTCTCTTTTCAACATGTTCACAAATTAAGTACAAATGTACATGTACGTATCAAAACCATTGTTGTGTAATCGTGTGCATATGAAAGCAGTGATGATTTAATGCAATGCTTTGCTGATGTAGGGCAGACCATGTACTGATCCCTGTTGAAAATATGTGACCTGGCTGCCCCCAAGACGTTCAAAATTCCAAATAATGCACAAATGTTGAAATAACTTTTTCTTTTTGACACTCTGCATAGAGAACTTAGGCCAAGTCTACTTGTAATTGAAATGTCAAATATAGTAGACGCTGACATGCTGACATTCTGACATTCAACTTATAACGTATTATTGAGTTTCTTTGACGCTAGCTGCAGTGACCTCCTGTACAAATGTACATTGTACATCATTGTGCACATTGAAACTTACATATTACATGAGGCAAAAAAAAATAATAGTTCTGCTTCCGATTACATGGCATTTGAAAAGAGGGTAGGTAGGAAGGGAACTTATATTTTTGGCAATTTTTTGTGTACGATCTTATGGAGGTGTCTTCATGTAGTCAAGGGTAAAAGGTAGTAATTGATGGTTTTCAGGGTTTTTCCCCTCATTTCCCCCCCCCCCCAAAAAAAAATTAGGATAGGGCTGTCAAAATAGGGAAGGTAGGGTAACGGGAAGCAGAATTTTTTTTTTTTTGGCCTAAAGTGTTTGCCTTTGGTGTGTGAAATTATGTTCTGTTGTCACTGCACTTGTTGAAAACGTATTGTTAAAATGTCTCATTCAACACTGAATGTGTACCGGTACATGTATATTCACTCATGTTACATGGACACCAAATGTGTTTCTCTGATTCAAGGAACAACAATACAATAAAATCTGAAGCAGATTATTAACAAACTAACCTGTTGAAATTTCAGCTCAGTGGATGTAGCTTTTGAGAAAACTGTAAAAATGCATTTTCCATATTTTCATATGCGTACATGTAGGCTTTCATTGAAAGCGCGGTGGGTTGGTCCTAACCATCGCCAGGAAATGACGGTATTTCCTCTTTTCTTGAAAATGCACCATACTAGGCACAATAATGCTTGATTCTATTATGTACTTACAATCAAGTAGGGTATTTCATGATATTTTGGCATTTTAATTTTTGAATGTTTGCAAATGGTGTCCATTAGCTTTAAGTTTCATGCTGTGTTAAGTTGTTGCTGCTAGTGATGCATTTGTGATCAAAACTACCGGTACTCCACCATTTGTCCACTTGCAATATCTTGCCGATCAAATTTTGCTAATATTGCTACATGTACATGTAGTTGATATTATTTTTTGAGCTGCAACTCCAATAGCTCAAATCATTTCTATCAAGATATCCATATTCGCCTTTGCTCCCTAAAAGAACAAGTGATACAATGTACATTATTATTTAACATTCGTGTTCATAAACAGAAGCCTAACTTATTAATAAGTGCACAAACTGCATACATACAGTGTACATGTTTGTACACATGTACATGTACATGTACAGGACAAGAATGATTGACATTGACATTGAGGTGAATATGATAAAACACATGGACACAAATGAACATGCCTGGATGATACAATTTTTTGAAGGTTTAATTAAAAATCATTGAGGCATTGCATCATAGTCCTTTACCTTATTCTCATTTCTGTCTTTTTTCAAATGGCATGGTAGGAGAATTGGAGTTAATGAGCTGTGACATTTTGAATATTTTCAGATGAATAGGATTACATGATGCAAGACAGACAGCAGGAACTGTCCTTAACAACAAAAAGCATAGGAAATTAGCCAAAATACTTCTGTTTAAAATAACATTAAAATGAAACTTCCTTTGCATACAAATATGTTGGGGTTCAAATTCTATTATCTTCACACAGTACAGCATGACAAAAACTTAAAGTACATTGTATGTTTACATGTATATGTGTGTTATTTATGTGGAGTGTATAAATTTATAAAAGGCAGG